TGGGGTCATTTTTCTCATTGATAAGACACCCTTTGTGAAATATTTTTCCACATGAGAAAAGGATCTGTTCACAGGATCATTATCTGGCATGGAAATTACTTATGACTTTAAAACTGAAGAATCTTTCCGAGTTTGGGGTGGGGGAGGGAATGGGAAATGTGCCTCCTGGGAACATGTGGAACTTCTGGCAGTGACGTCATATAGTAAGAGTCTTGCTGACATACAAGTGGCCCCTGCAAACAGCCTAAGGCAGTCAAGCGAACAGGTATTTCTTAAGAAATTCACGAAAACAAGGTCACTTAGAAGTACATAACATTTTTGTCCATCCTGCATCTGACTCTTCAGCTCCAGGGATCTCACAAACGGTCCCGCCACTATTATAGACTTTATGCTTTCACCAGATCAGTTCTGTGGCTTCCAACAGTGGGACCAGACAATGGGCACCAAATTACACCCAATAGCTACTGGAAAATCACAGATGCTGCTAGGGGCACGTACCCATGGATGACCACCACGTGGACTGTGACACAAAGCTGCCAACATGGCTTGCTTCTCTCTCTTTAAGATATGTGTCTGTGCAGTTCTGTTTTACAGCCCTGGAAAAGCTCAAGGAACCCTCTAGGTTCACAGTGCAGAGGCCAATAGTGTGATGGCTGTGAAGGTTCAGGACTCATCAGAGAAAGGGCTCTAATAGAAATGCACCATACTATTATCACAAAAATCATAGCTATTCTTTATCCCCCTATCCATTCTTTCCTTCCTGTGCTTGCAATTTCAAAAGATCAAAAGAGCCACAGGAAGTCCTGTGCATCTTGATGGTTCTTCAGAAGCCACAGAGGAAAAGCTTCTAACAGGTTCTCCTGTACAATGGAGTCCGAAGGCTGAAGTAGTTATTGAAGTCTTGCCACCAATGAAGGGTGGGAGGTGGAAAGCTTTGAACTTCTTGGGGCAGGAGAGAACCCCCTCCTGTCAGAGTCGAGGAAAACCCATGAAAAATAAGAAATTCCAGGAGTTCCATGTTGGCCTTTCAGGTCTTCAGTCCCTATCTGCTTGTGAGGTTTGATACAACTGATGAACCACAAATAAAGTAATTATAATAATTATAAGGAAAACAACAAAAGCAGTTATCATTTATAGAGCACTTACTGTGAGTCAGATGTGGTATTAAATACTTTATAGCTATCTTCAATAAAGTAAGGACACATGGAACACCCATTAAGAGGACAGAATGTGGGGACGTGTTTTCCTCAGATCAAATCCAGCTCTGCCCATACAACCTATATGACCTTGAGCAGTTAACCTTTCTAGATTTCAGCTTTCCCACCAGTGAAGTGGGGATAATAACAGGGCTTATCTCACAGGATTAAAAAGTTAATCCATGTAAAGTTCTGAGGACAGCACTGGCACACATAAGACTGTCAGCTTTTTGTTTTGTCCTGATGCAAATATGATTTCTATTAAGAACACATACATTCCTAGAACATGAAGGTCCTCCACATAACTGTTTGAGGATGGAATATTTGAGGATAAATTTGTTTTCACAGTCATTTTTCAGAAACGTTAACAAAATCGATCATACCTGTATTAACCCTGTGCAGGGCACTCAGCTCCTTGTCCTTCCAAGACTGGCAGACATGCAGGTGGACAGACATGCTAGCCAGGGACAGGGCAGGTTAAGCTGTGCCACAGAACCTTCACTAGATGCACACACCATCCTGCTCCCTGTCCTCTACCACAGGGAGAGGCAATGGCAGTGAAACACAAGAACTGTCTGGGATCTGAACAGAAAGATTCTGAAACATAAGGCAGTCACCAAACCAGACATCTAAGAGCAAAGGCTTATCTTTTCCATACTCCAGAACTTTTGAAAAGCTATTGAGAGCTGAACAGAATTCCTTCAGAACAAGTTGCTTCTATACATAATGCCTTGCACACAGCTTCAGAGATTTATACGCCAGCCTCTGAGACCCATTCACAAAGCCTGATTAAGAAGCTCCCTCTCCCTTCTTGAACTTCATGGAGTCATAGCTGTCTCCACTGGTATTCTCAGGGGAACAGAAATTACTACCCCTGTCATCTGCGGAGCCCCATCAGATCCCTCCCTCTATGTCCCCACCCAAAGCAACTGTGTAAAGAACAGCAAACATTCCATTTCAGGGGCCTTTCTGTGTATGGTGTTGAAATACATGATAAGGAATACACCATAGGGAGCCCTATGTGTTTTCCTTCCTCTCATTATCCCCCAAACACTGCTTTCTCCCATTTGACCTTCCTTCCGAGCCAGTCTTTAAGCTGGTGATCAGCACCTACCCCTGTGTGGTTCCAGGGACAGTAGGAACAAATTTCTCCACCCGTAATAAACATAATACTCTTGAATAATTGTGTGTGTGTATGTGTGTGTTGGGGGGCGGTTATTACCTGAAATACCACTCAGAGCTTATCTTTTGCTTCAAAGTATTAGAGTCTACAGAAAAGTCACATGTAGGCTGCCAGCTCCTTATATTTTCACTTAAGCTTCCTTGTGTCGCCTCTTTTCTTTCCTAATCAGACTAAGCAACTTGATGACAAGGACCACATTCCCTATTTCTTAGTATTCTCTTCAACATTTTAGCCAGATTAAGAGTAGGTGTTCAATATAAGTTTGTCATCTTATGAATTATTTCTTAGGGTGAATATCAGATACCATCATGAGAACAAATACCATCATGAGAACAGGCAACATGGTGCTGGGGGGCAGGGAGGTGGCAGCATAGAGTACTGGGGCCCCAGGGGCTAATATTGCTAACTTGGCAGTACTGGTAAGAACTAGACCTGTTAGGAACTACCAGTGATGAAAGCAAAAGGAAAGACTCATCAGGCTAATATGAAAACGGAAACTAGCAGGCTGACATAGGGCAGAACAGGGAAAACAAAATCCCAACAAACTGCTAGGTAGATTTCCTGAAAAGTGGAAACACCTAAATCTTGAGACAATTAATGACAGCAAGTATTCTCAAATGTATGGGCCTAAAATCCTGAATTATCTAATTAATCCTAAAATTATCTAATTGGTTCCTTCCATTTCTAAACACTTTACTCAATAAATTCCTAGAAAGTTGAGAATCACCCCCTCCCCTCCCACACATACACACATGCAGACAGAGAAACAGATATTCTAAGTAAATTAAACTGTTTTAGTCTCATGGTTTTCACTCCTAGTGAAAATGCCAACTCACCCATTACAAAAATCAATCTAGCAGCTGCTTGAATGTTCTCTATCTCACAAAGCAGTCGGTTCCACTGGGGAGCGGTCCTTGCATTGGTTTTGTTTAATGAGGTCTACCAATATAAGTAAATTTTTTTCTAACTAAAACAATGAATTCATACTTCTCAAAGTTTACAGACCCTGGGAACAGCATCAATTCAGCTCTGCTTTTTTTTTTTTTTTTTTTTTTTTTTTTCCAAAAAGCTAACTATCTTTTCTGCTGCGTGAAGGCGTTGATAATTATCTAGAAAAGCAAATCTCCTTTCTATAAGGTTCAGTGGTTTGAGAGTAGTGATGGAGAGGGCACTCTACTCCTTTGGAAATCATCCTCACTATCTAGAGATATTTCAAGGCTGGAGTACGCTCCTGTGAACAATAGAAAAATACATATTTTTTTTTTTTTTTTTTTTAAAGAGACTGGGTTTCACCATGTTGGTCAGGCTGGTCTTGAACTCCTGAATTCAGGTGATCCACCTGCCTTGGCCTCCCAAAGTGCTGGGATTACAGGTGTAAGCCACTGCACCCGGCCAAAAAATACGTACTTAATTGAAAGTAATAAGCTACAGTCTGACTTTTTTTTTTTTTTGAGATGGAGTTTTACTCTGTTGCCCAGGCTGGAATGCAGTGGCCTGATCTCAGCTCACTGCAGCCTTGGCCTCCTGGGTTCAAGCGATTCTCCTGCCTCAGCCTCCCGAGTAGCTGGGACTACAAGGCACCTGCCACCATGCACAGTTAATTTTTTGTTTTTTTAATAAAGACGGGGCTTCACCATGTTGACCAGGTTGGTCTCAAACTCCTGATCTCAGGGTGATCCACCCACCTCCACCTCCCAAAGTGCTGAGCTGAGCCACTGCGCCCATCCCTGACTCTTATCAGCACTAATTTTCCTTGTGACTGGAAAAGTCTTTTAACCCCTCTGGGCATCAGTTTCCTTATCCAGAAAGAGAAAAGTCTGACTAGATGGTTCCATCTAGTCAGATCTTATAATTTTCCATTATAAAATAATTCTAGGCTCCCTATAAGCACCACTGAAAAAAGATGGCATTCTTTTGAACTTCATGAAAGCTGTATGAATTAAAACTTAAATACTCAAGCCAACAATGCGTTACATAAATTTTGTATCATCCTGCATTGCTGGTAATATAATGGAAACAGGTATCAAGTGTTGAGGGAATACTTATTTAAAATATATGTTTGAATTGTGAGAAACTATCCAGCAATATTTTTTCCCTTCAGAGTTGGAATAATTATGGAGTTTGATTTGATTTTAGCAGAGGAACAAGTAGGTCCAGCTGTTGGGGAATGGGGAGATAGCTTGAAAACTTCTGATCCGGGTGTCCCCAGTTCCCCTTCCATGCTAGCCCTGTACTGAACAATACTGCATAAGCACTCCTGGAAGGTGCCTGGACCTAAGTCTGGCTTTGGGACTGGACTTTGATCCCTGATTATCCAATGATCTCATTTACATTTTGCCTGAACCACTCCCCAAACCCCATGCACCCCAGAATTTCCACAATTTTTTTTTCTGAGTGAAAGGACTGAGGAGGTGAGTCATCCAGACACTTTCTAGCTCTCCCTAGAATCAGGAAGCCTGGCTGGTTAATTAGACCACCTCATTCCTGATAAATAGGTGCACAAAAAGGGGAGTGAAAGTGCAGTGCCCCCACCAGGCTTCAGTTTCTGACATCTATGATGTCATCGCAAATGCCCACTACCACCGAAACTGGCACTATCGAGGTCAGCCAGCCAACCAACGTTTAGAAAGCAAACTATTATTAAACATTAACATATTTATCGACACATGATCGTTTTGGAACAAAATAATCTGCCCATTTCTTGAGGGACCATTGTTAAAAGGAATATTCCAAATGTTCTGCCCATATTGCATTTGGGGGAAGAAATTGCTCTGCTAAACCAAAGAAACACAAAATTTAAGAACTGGTGGGCAGAATCATCAGCAGAGAGCCTCCTCACCGCCCTTGTGAGGCACTCAGGAAAGCTACAACAGCCACTTACGTGACAACACCAACTTTCAATGCATTGGTTCACATATTTTAATTACATGTTGGTCCCTAAAAGAAGCCTGCAGCCAGAAAGCAAACCCAGGCACGAAAAGTAAACGAATCTCAAAACGATTAGTCCAACAGGAATTGGACAACTCCTTAAGGGACTCTGCATGGTGAAGGACACGCTGTTTGCCCTGCCATTCTGCAGCACAAAAACCCAGGCAGGTCGAAGAGGGCGGACACCCTGGAGTGGCTACCAGCCCAGCGCCGCAGCTCACACAGCGGCCTTCAAGGCGTTTCGCAGGCAGTCCCCACAGTAATTCTTAAAGCGGCCGCTCTCGCCAATAATTGGGAGTCTAATTACGCAACGTTCTTCCCGCTCCCATTCCTGCTCCTTGCCTCTTTCCGCCAGCCCGCTAAGGAAGCAGGTACTGTAGCCGGGTGTGTAGAAATCATTTTCCCCCTGCTCCCAAGTTTCTCGGCATATGCGGTACAAAACTGCGCAGAACCGGGCTAAGGCGCGCAGAAGGAGCTGACACTTCACACATTTGTCAAGATTACTGTCCAGCCCCACCTCGGCGATTGCCACATTCCCGATAGGCATCGCAGTTGTAAAATACACAAGTTCCCTCGCCGGCTCCGGACCCAAGAGCGCCTGCAGAGGGGCTGTCTATAGCTTTGTTTTTCGATGGTTCAGTGGTTACTGGCATTGTGATTAGTTTTTACAAAATACATTGGAAACGTAAGAGTCTTTTTCTTGCTCTGCTGCCCTCAAAAAAGATGGAAAACCCTAGGACCGCTCCGAGGGCCCCGGAGATGAGGCGGCTGCGGCTCAGGGCTCCTTCACTTGTCTTGGGTCTGGAGGCGCAAAGGTGACGCGAAAGGGGGGAATGCGGCCAGGAAAGGGGAGTAGCGCCCATTCCCCTCCCCTAGCCATCCCGCAGTGAAGGGCCCCGGGCGCCGAGCCAGGACAGGCGCGTTTCGCTCCCGTTTATCATAATCCTTATCGGAGCCCCGAAGTGGGAACCGCCACTTAAGACCGGAGGATACACGGTTTCTGGCTCCAGTCCCGTAGTGGAAGCTGAAACAAGAGCAAATTAACTCCGGCAGTGTGCCCTCCAGTCCAGTCACCTCGCTCCCTTGGCGACTCGGTCCTCCTCATCCTCGCACCTCTTCACTGCCGCCCGCCGCTGGCCGCGGCTCAGGCTTAGCTGGCCGAGCGCTGGATTCCAGCTCCCCCGCAGCCTAGCCTCGCCAAGCCGCGGCCGAGAACAGGGCTGGAAGCTCCAGGCCACTGGGGCCGCAGGGGTGAAGACAGGAAGAGTGAGGGGACAGGCGGCGAGCCGCACACATCTGCAGAAGGTGAGGCCCTACCTGCTTCTGCGCGATCGCGCAGTGGAGCCCATCCTCGCTCGGCTAGCGCGGAGCCCGGCCGGACTGGGAGCGGCCGAGAGAGGGCGGGAGGGCAGCGAGAGTTGGCTGGAGTTGCCTCTCACCCAGTGCCGAGAGGTTCGCGAGGGCATCGTGGCTGCCCTTCTCTGTCCTCTTAGGAGACAAGACACCCGGACCTGCCAGGGACGCCCAGTGTTGCCGTCCGCTCCCTACATACCGAGCCACCTGCCCCCACAGGGCAATCCAGGTCACTCACTACCGACTCTCCCTGGAGTCAAGGTGCGGCACGAGGGAAGTGGGTTCTCCAACCTTCGGTGGGGTCTGGAGCCCGGGAGTGGGGCCCTCTGAAGGGTCCCGGCTCCTCTGCGCGATCTTGTCCCTGAGCCGCTCTCCGCCTCCCGCCCCGCTTGCCAATATGAGGCGCGGTGCGGGCGTAGGAGCGCATTTGGAAGTGCCCCGGGAATCCAGAGGAAAAAAGGACGTGGATGCTGCCCTAGCAGGAGAGATCAGAGAAAGTGGAGGACAACCACCCACAAACGTTTCCAAGGGCCGGTAGCCGCGGTAGGCTGGTGCGGGGCGGCTGGGAGATTTTCAGAGGAACCGTGGGAAGCACCTCCGACCTCCAGGCCATCTCCTTCGGCCTCCTGGCCACACTGCGCGCGCGGATCCCCAAACCCCCCCCCCCCCCCCGAGCCACAGAACTCTCCACTGCGAAGCCGCAGTTCCTAGTCCCCAAACCTGGCACCTGCTCTCCCCCTCTCCCCCTCGCAGCTTTCCAAACTGAGCCTCGAGCTCGGAAGACCTCTCCGCACCCCTCTCCCAACCGCTTCGGTCGCGCCTGCCCCGCGCAGCCCGGCCTTGGCCTCGACCGGCCCCCTAGTCGGCCCGGACGCCTGCTTACCTTTTCTTCTCCTTGTCAGCTGTCATTGTCGCTGTGGGCCCTTGGGAGGTTCAGACGCCGAGCACCTGGGCTCCCTGGTGGGTGGGAGCTGTGGCCCTCGTCCGCTCCCGCGGCCGGGGCGGGTGGTGAAGGTCCGAGGTGTGCACAGGTCCCTTGCACCCGGCGCAGTCAGGTGGAATGTGGCGCGCGGCGAGCTAGGTGCGGGGGCGGGGGTGGAGAAAGGTGACGGGGAGGAACCTGCGCGCGGAGGCGGGGTCCGGGGAAGGAGTGGGTGGAGGCTGTCAGTCCCGAAAAGAGGACGGCGAGAAGGAAACCCAAGTTCCTTTTTCCTTCAAAAAGGAGTCACTTTTCCGAGTTTTCAAGAAAAAAAAAAAAGTGGCTCGAATGCTGGGAGTAGGAAGGAGTCGGAGGCCGGGCTGAGCTGACCATACAGTCTCAGGACACTGCCGAGGATTGTACGGCCGCCACAGGAGCGCTGGGGCGGGAGCGCGGCGGGCACCCGAGCTGTGTGACGGACCGCTCGCGAGTGTAAAGCTCTCGCGGCCGCCAGCCCACTTTAAAATCTCCGTCGGCTGGTGCGGGGCGGGCCTGGGGCGGGCACTGGGCGGGCGCGGGGGTGGAGGCGGGCGAGCGCCGGCAGGCCCCGCCCGCGCCGCGCGCCTGGGTAGCCCATGGCGTCCCGGCCAATGGGGAGGCGCGGCCGCAGCCTCTGCCCTGACCCCGGCCCGCCCCCTGCCCCCGCGCTGAGCTCCGCGGCCGCCCGCCCGCCCCGCCTCCTGCCTCCGCACTTCTAGGACTTGTTTATGAGGTTGTCTGGGCGGTGGGTAGCGGGGTGGGACTCCGTGCCAGGGAGACGCAGCCTGCGCGGGACCGAGGGGCGGCGGGGAGCGATAGTTGCGCCACAGTGTCGGTGTCCTCCTACCCGCGCCGTGCCCTTGGGAAGAGGGCAAGACCGCGGGCAGCGCGCAGTCGGCGCGGAGCCCCTCCACGCTGCTGCGCTCCAGCGTTCCTGGCCCCGTGGCGTGGCCCTCGGGCCAGGTGGGGATGATCCCGCGGCCCCAGCTACCGCGTTTCGGTCGTGGGCTATGAGCCCTTTTCGGCGGGACGCAGCTGACTTTACTTTGGGAGAAACAGCGCAAGGAAATTGGTATAGGGCTGCGCCTACTCTTCCTTCCCTCTCCCAGCGTGTTGGCTGCTTGCTGGCTTGTGCCTTGCGGTTTGGTTTTGGCGGGGATGCGGGAGAGGAGAGCCTGTGAGCCGCCCAACTTTCTGCCCCTATTCTCGATACCCCGCCGCTCCGGCTCGGGCCCCGGCGAGTTCAGAATTGGAGAAGTCAGTCTGGTTCCCTAGTGTGATCTTGGAGTGACAGAGTTGGCCTGGTGCCCTCAAGTCGCTGCATCTCAACCCTGTCCTCTCCGTCACCAGGATCGATTGAAGTCCTGGGAAACGCAAAGGCTACAGGTGTTGGGAATTGGTAGATTTAAGTGCTTACTCAGGCAACGGTTAGAGCTCAAGGATTTTCCAGCAGCACTTTTGACGCCACCTTCGATCTCCGGGCCCCGGTGCTCCCTTGCCCCGCGCTGAGCTGTCTCCCACCTCCTACCGGCGATGGGGCAGGAACGTCTGGGGAGAGGACAGGGGACGCCATTAGTGTTTGAAGGCTGTGGAAGGACCCATGAGTTTCACAGGAGTAACTTGAAGAGAAAGCGAGGGCAAGAGAACTGATCTATATCTCTCCCTTTAGCCTCTCACCACATTTTACACTAGAACAATGTACATAAACGATTTGGGGAGAAGGGTAGGTTTCAGCGCCATAGAAAAAATGAACACGTATTTTCACCCGTGGAAACAGGAAGCGTTGGGGAGATACTTTTCAGGAGCATGGAGAAGGCAGAGTGGTGAAAGGGGAAAAACCGACGAAGAATTGGGAAGTAGACATATTTTCTTTCTTTCGTTTGAGACAGAGTCTTGCTCTGTCGCCCAGGCTGGAGTGTAGGGGCCCGAACTCGGCTCACTGCAACCTCCACTTCCCGAGTTTACGCGATTTTCGTGCCTCAGCCTCCGGACTAGCTGGAATTATAGGCGTCCTCCACCACCACCTCCGGCTAATTTTTGTATTTTTAGTAGAGACGGGGGTTTCACTATGATACCCAGGCTGGTCTCGAACTCCTGACCTCAAGTGATCTGCCCGCCTCGGCCTCCCAAAGTGTTGGGATTACAGGCGTCAGCCACCGTGCCCAGCCGGGAAGCAGACGTATTTTCTCATTTCCTCGGATCTCGGAGCCGCGGAGCACTTACACACGTTGATAGTCAACTAATTCAAAGACTAAAAATCTCTCTCTAGGGAACTTATCTCTCTCTAGAGAGCTTATTTCCCTCACCTGGGACTAGGGTGAAGGAAAAGGGCACCTTGGTGACTTCCAGATGCCTACAGTAGTTGACTACAACAACCTGAGTCCTGGAGTGTGCTCGTCAGATCAGAGCAGCACCTCTAACCCATAAAGAGCATAGATTTTTAGCTTTTTTTTGAGAGAGAGAGTCTCACTCCGTCACCAGGCACCAGGCTGGAGTGCAGTGGCGCAACCTCTGCTCACTGCGACCTCCGCCTCCTGGGTTCAAGCGATTCTCCTGCCTCAGCCTCCCAAGTAGCTGCCACTGCACCTAGCTAATTTTTGTATTTTCAGTAGAGATGGGGTTTCACCATGTTGGCCAGGCTGGTCTTGAACCCCTAACCTCGTGATCCACCTTGGCCTCCCAAAATGCAAGGATTATAGGCATGAGCCACCACGCCCAGTCTTAGTTCTTTTTTTGAAGGAGGAAAGGCAAGGCAGCATCACTCAAGACCACATCAACCTAAGAAGACATGGACACATTGCAGGGAACAACACACCCTGGGGCCTGTCGGAGTGTTGGGGGTGGGAGAGGGAGAGCATCAGAAGGAATAGCTAATGGATGCTGGACTTAACACTTGGGCCATGACATGATCTGTGCAGCAAACTGCCACACATTTACCTATGTTAACAAACCTGCACATCCTGCATATGTACCCTTGAACTTAAAGATTGAAAATTTAAAAAGAGAGCACATCAACTATATTATATAGCTCTTTCCTTTTGGCCAGCCTGCACCCTATAAATGAAAGGTCCCCAAGGTAAGACAAACAGCTGGCACTGAGTCTGGGATTTTTTTTTTTTTTTTAAGAGCCTCACTCTGTCACCCAGGCTGGAGCGCAGTGGCACAATCTTGGCTCACTGCAACCTCCACCTCCCGAGTTCAAACTATTTTCGTACCTCAGCCTCCCAAGTGGCTAGGACTATAGATGTGCACCACCACGCCCAGCTAATTTTTGTATTTTATTTATTTTTTTAAAGACAGGGTTTCACCATGTTGGTCAGGTTGGTCTTGAACTCCCGACCTCAGGTGATCCGCCCGCCTTGGCCTCCAAAGTGCTTGGATTACAGGCGTGAGCCACCACACCCGGCCTGATTTTTGTACTTTTAGTAGAGTTGGAGTTTTGCCATGTTGGCCAGCTGCTCTCAAACTCCTGGCCTCATGTGATCCACCTACCATGGCTTCCCAAAGTACTGGGATTATAGGCATGAGGCACCATGCCTGGCCAAGTTTGGGATTTGGGCAGTGTCTGAGATTCACCAAAGGTCTATGTAATTCTCAAAAGGATTGGATCCAGACTTGCTTAGAGAAGCGCGAGGTGGCCTAATGACTTAAGATTTCTTCCAGGATTCAGCTCAACAACTTTTGCAGGGAGGAGCTGAGAGTGCAAACCAAATGCAGGCTGTGGCTAGGGTACATCCAATTTTACTTTTAGAGCCCTTGGAGAACTAAAGGAGAAAAGCTTTGAAGGGTGATGCTCAGGGAGGGAGCAGGGGATAGGGAGCTGGGTGGCCGGATTTAGAGGGGTATCTTTAGAGACACTGATGTTGTGGCCACAGAGGGCAGCAGAGGACACTGCTAAGCAACGCTCGCAAGCTACTTAAAATGGGAGCGAACTGCCCACCTCCCAGCAAATCTCCCTACCTGCCTCCCAACTCTGGTTTGGATGGTTTGGGGACAAAAGCTGTGGCACTAAGGAAACACCTACTTGTTCTGGCAATGGACAAGACTGGTTCTCTTGCTTTGTAGGGTGTGCCCTCAGGAGAATGGGATAGAGATAAGGTGTTAACTTACAAACCTGGCAGAAAGCAGGACCTGGATGCAGTGGACTGGTGGAAGAATGATGGCCTCAGTAGTCCCATCGAAGTAACAGTATGTTCTAGGATGTGGTTGGAAATTAGGTTGGAATGTGTGGGATCTAACAGGAAGAGCTCTTAGAAAGATGGGCTATCTCATTAGTACCTTATAACTTCCAATGCATTGTCACATATGGGAGTTGCAATCAGGGTGAGGCAAAAGAGGCCTGTAAGAGTTGTGCAAGTACGCTGGTCCCTGTCCTGCTACATGTGTGATCTCACATAATACCCATCTGACCCTTGTCTGGCTATTAGTTGGTTTTGGGGTGGAGAGAGCAGGGGAGGTGGGGAGCAGAAATGGGAGAAAGGACAAGCTGGCAGAGGCGCCTCCTCTATGGAAAGCCTTGCCTG